ACTAAGGAACAGAAAGCATAAATCAAGCTAATCTATTTTAATATACAAGGTAACAAACCGTGATAGTTACAATCAGGATCCTAACAAATTAATGCTACTCTAATACTCCCCCTCAAGGTGGAGCATGGAGGGAGGAGATGCCCAACTTGGAAGTCAAAAAATCGAATTGTTTGGATCCAAGTGCTTTGGTCATAATATCTGCGGGTTGAGAACTAGTGGGGATATGTTGAGTAGAAATAGTCTTGCTGAGAAGATAGTCCCGAACAAAATGGCAATCTAACTCGATATGCTTGGTACGCTCATGGAACACTGGATTAGAAGCAATATGAATAGCAGACTGACTGTCACAAAACAGTTGCATAGGGGCTGCATGAGGAATATCAAGAGAGCTGAGAAAAGACTTTAACCAAATAAGCTCAGAAGTCGCAGCTGCCATGGCACGGTATTCAGCTTCAGCAGAGGAGCGGGATATTGTGTTTTGCTTCTTGGTTTTCCAAGAAATAGGAGAATGTCCAAGAGTAACAAAATAACCAGTGACTGATTTTCGAGTCAAGGGACAACTAGCCCAATCCGAATCACAATAGGCACGAAGAAGAAGATCACTGTCAGATCGAAGAAGGAGTCCTTGGCCAGGATTGGACTTAATGTACCGAAGAACACGAATAGCCGCATCGTAATGTATCTGCATAGGATGCTGCAAAAACTGAGAAAGTGTGTGAACTGCATAACTAAGTTCTGGTCGTGTAATCGTGAGATATACAAGACGGCCAACAATACGTCTATAACGTTTAGGATCATCAAACGGAGGTCCTTCAGCAAGAGCAAGCTTGTGATTGGGATCCATAGGATAAGCAACCGGTTTACAACTTTGAAGTCCACATTCCTTAAGAATATCCAAAGCAAATTTGCGTTGAGTAAGAAACAAACCGGTCTTGCTTCGAGCAAATTCAATGCCAAGAAAATACTTGAGGGGACCAAGATCTTTGATTTTAAACCAGGTTTGTAAATGAGCTTTGACACGGTCACAGAGAGAAGGATCACTACCTGCCAACAAAATATCATCTACATAGACAAGTATAGCAACATAATGGGAACCAGTCGAGTAAGTGAACAACGTATAATCAGCACGAGACTGAACAAAGCCGAAACTGAGGAGAGAACTACGAAGCTTAGCAAACCAATTTCGTGGGGATTGCTTGAGACCATAAAGTGAACGTTGAAGCTTACAGGCGTGACCAGACTTGGTTTGGGAGAAACCGGGAGGAAAACGCATAAAGACTTCTTCATCCAAATCGCCATGGAGAAAGGCATTTTGAACATCCAGCTGAAAAATGCTCCATTTTCGAGCTACAGCTACAGATAAAAATGTACGCACACTTGTCATTTTAGCCACCGGTGCAAAAGTCTCAGTGTAATCTTCTCCTTCGATCTGATTGTTCCCAGCAATAACCAGACGCGCTTTATAGCGTTCAATGGTTCCATCAGAATTGTACTTGATGCGGTACACCCACTTACATGGAATAGCTTTCTTACCAGAAGGGAGAGGTTGAATTTGCCAAGTATGATTGGCTTCCAATGCATCAATTTCGGCTTGCATGGCTTTCTGCCAATGAGGATATTGCATAGCCTCTTTAAATGATTTGGGTTCCAGGTTACTATCCACGGCGGCAAGAAAAATCTGATGGTGCGAAGAAAATAATGCATTAGAAACATAATGATCAATGGAATATTGAATACCTGAGTCGATTGGAGAAGTGGAGAGACGAGGAAAGGGTGTAGTCATTGTGTTGCATACATAATCCTTTAAATGAGATGGGGGACGTCTGGCACGCTGTTCACGAATATCTGCCACAGATGCAGTGTTGGGTTCTGTCAACGGAACCGGTGAACCAGGGACATCCGTGGATGAAGTAATAGAACCCGGAACTGGGGAGGACGAACTCCCCCTGTCATCAAGCTCCGCTGTGGGAGTATCAATAGCAGTAACAGGTGCCACATCATAATCGGTGAAGACAGCTTGTGGTGACGGTACATGGACAGAAGGTGCAGATGAAGTTGCAGCCAATGGAAAAATAGTTTCATGAAATAAAACATCACGAGAAACAAATATTTCATGAGTGGAGATATCCATGACCTTCCATCCTTTTTTGTTGAAAGGGTAGCCAACAAACACACACTTACGGGAGCGAGGAGCGAACTTGTCATGTGGTTTGGGTAAAACAGTAGTGTAACATAAACTCCCAAAGACCCGTAAGTGATCATACTTTGGTGGAGTGCCATGCAAAACTTCATAGGGACACTGACCACCAAGGAGTGGAGTCGGTGTCCTGTTGATGAGGTGAGCAGCGGTCAAGATGCATTCTCCCCAAAGAGATATAGGTAAGTGACCATCAAAACGCAAAGCACGAGCCACGTTGAGGATGTGACGATGACGACGTTCAACGCGTCCATTTTGCTGTGGGGTGTAAGTGCATGATAATTGATGATGAATACCGTAGGATGAGAGAGCCTCTTGGACTACAGATGACAAAAATTCAGTCCCATTATCACTCTGAATTCGCTTAACAGATGCATCATATTGGGTGCGAACCAAGTGGAGAAACCGAAGTAAACATGTGGAAGTTTCAGTTTTATTGCGCATCAAAAAAATCCAAACATGTCTACTAAAATCATCGACTACAGTTAAAAAATAGCGGGCACCAGTTGTAGATGCCATATGATATGGCCCCCATATATCACAGTGAAGTAAATCAAAAGGATGTAAACAACGTTTATTATTAATAGGAAAAGGACGTCGTGGTTGTTTGGCTTTACAACAAACGTCACAAGGAGCCAAATTATTTGCATTGGAAATAAAAGGTAACAAAGATAAATAACGGGAAGATGGATGTCCTAGACGACGATGCCATAGTGCTGCAGAATCTGACGTACTGGCAACATGAGCAGAAGCTGATGATGCACACAATATATACACCCCTTCTCGTTCAACACCCGTTCCAATCGTCCTCTTCTGCTTTAGGTCCTGTATCAAACAAACAGAATTAACAAACAATGCCAAGCAAGACTGGCGCAGAAGCTGAGATACAGAAATCAAATTACAAGCCAACGAAGGGACATAAAGAACATTGGAGAGATGAAGAGAAGAGCCCAAAGTAATGCTGCCACATTGCGTAGCAATATCATGAACTCCATTCGGCAGTCCCACAGAACAAGGAGAAATAGAATGCACATTGGATAGATAGGAGAGTGTGCCCGTCATGTGTTGGGATGCACCACTGTCGATGATCCAAGATGGGTGTAGGTAAAAGGGTGACTTAGAATCAGAAACCTTGAAGGTTTTAGGTGCGGAAGTCATGATGAAAAAAAAAAAAAATGAAGGCTTGTTGATCGTCAAGCTCTTGATACCATAACAGAAGTTGCTGTCATTCGCAGCTTGATGATATATTGAATTGGGTCTATTATATAGACCAAGATTTACAATTGGTTACATCAGGAAATCAGCTAAACTTAAGGAACAGAAAGCATAAATCAAGCTAATCTATTTACATCAGGAAATCAGCTAAACTTAAGGAACAGAAAGCATAAATCAAGCTAATCTATTTACATCAGGAAATCAGCTAAAACTAAGGAACAGAAAGCATAAATCAAGCTAATCTATTTTAATATACAAGGTAACAAACCGTGATAGTTACAATCAGGATCCTAACAAATTAATGCTACTCTAATACTTTTCTTTACTATTGTTGTTGAATTCAGTATGCTAGGCTAGAATTTTATGTAGTTAGGGGTAGATGGAACCCAATTGAATCGTTTATGTTTATGGATTAAGTTGTTCTTGAATTTTTTTCTTTTTATAATTTAATAAATTTATTTGTCTTTAATGCTTTCAATGAGTTTTCTCCTTAGAGATTGATTTAGGGGAATTGTATGACAATAGGGATGTTGGTGCATGAACCTGATTTGATAAATTTATCATAATCCTTGTGATCTAGGGATAGACATAGGGCAATTGTGCAATCTTTAAATTCTTGATCTTAATGCATATTTTTTTGGGGAATAATCGGGGAACTAGAGTTCTTGCAAGATCACATAGATTTAGGGTAGCAAGAAATTGAGCCCTAATCAACTTAGAAAGAATTGATTGGCATTATATTAAGAGCGATTCTTGACAGTTTAATTCGTAGCATAAAGAGAAAATTAGGGGAAGTCGAAACCTTAACTACGCTCTTTCTTGATTTTCAAAACTTTCATCTTTTTTACTTTCTTGCTTTTAATTCTGAAATTGAATGCTATTGCTTTTTTAATTTCAATTCTTTTCATCTCAAATTCGATTGTCCAACTAAATCGTTGTTAGCGAACTAGTGCTTGAAAACCAATCCTCGTGGGAACGATCTCGTACTCAATACACTTTTATTACTTTTACGACTGGTGCACTTGCCGAAGTCGCAACAAGTTTTTGGCGTCGTTACCGGGGATTGGGTCCTTCAACATTAGAAGAAACTATAAGCAATCTAGATTGGACTTTTTATTTTCCTGCAATTTAAATTTTCTGTATAATTTTATTTTATTCTATTTTATTTTATTTTATTTTATTTTGTTTTTGTTTTATTTTTATTTTTTATTTTTTAAATTGCTTTTTTATTTTTATTTTTAAATTTATTTTAATTTCATTTATTTTTTATTTTTTAAAACCATTTTATTTTTATTTTTTTTGTATAATTCTGCATTTTCTGCATTATATTTTTTTTTGTTAAATTTCATGTTTTCTATTTTCTGCATTTTCTGTTTTTCTGCATAATCTTAGTTTATGCGAAGTACTGTTAACCCACAATCCTTGCAGTTTGATCCTGAGATAGATAAGACAGCCAGAAATCTCAAAAAAAGCGCAAAAGAAATAAAAGCAAAAGAAGCAAAAGCATAAAGCTCGACGGAACCAAAGGAAGAAACTATGGGTGACAACAACGTGATTCAGAATCCTCCCATGAACTTTGGGAGATTACATGACTCCAGCCCGAGTTCCGCAGACGGCGAGTATTGTTAGACCCAATGTGGAAGCTAACAACTTTGAGCTCAAGCCAGCACTGCTGCAACTGATTCAAAAAGATCAGTTCGCTGGAGGAAGCACCGAAGACCCCTACAGTCATCTAGAAAATTTCTTGCTCTACTGTGACACCTTGAAGATGAATGGAGTCTCACGTGACGCCATCTTGCTCAGACTCTTCCCATGCTCACTGAAGGAAGAAGCAAGAGGGTGGTTGCGGTCACTGCCTCAAGGAACCATCACCAACTGGGATGATTTGGCGACCAAGTTCTTAGCCAGATTCTTCTCAGCTTCAAAGATGGCAAGGCTCAAAGGAGAGATCACTGCTTTTGAACAAAAAGAAAGTGAATCCTTGTACGAGGCATGTGAAAGGTTTAAAGGACTACTCCGGAAGTGTCCCCAACATGGAATTGAAGCTTGGGAGAAAGGACGAATCTTCTTCCAAGGAATGACGCCGAGCACAAGAACCTTTGTGAATGCTGCAGGAGGGGGATCATTGAAAACAAAAACTCCAAAGGAAGCACTGGAATTGCTGGAATCTTTAGACTCTCAGGAGTTCGATAATTCTCCCGTCTCACAAAGGAGAGCGAGAATCATGAAGCTTGACGACTACGATGCGTTGTTGGCTCAGAATGAACAAATATTGCAAATAAATAAGAAAACAAGCACAATTAGATGCTCTTACAAAGTAATTTTCTAATTCTCAAGTTTCTTCTGTTAATAATTCTCAAGTTACTTGTGGTATTTGTGCAGGTACTCACTCATGCTACTGAATATTGCGATTTCATGAAGGCACTTGAAAATGCAGAAGTCAACAAAATCTGGTATGATCAAAAGAACTATAATAATCTGGGGAGGAACCAATATGGAAATAACTACAATCCAGGGAGGAAAAATCAAAATCAACACCCAGGGTTTTGTTACAAATCAAATCATAAGTTGAATCCTCCTCCACCAGTGCAACAATAGCCTCCACCACAAGGTAACACTTCAGAGTGGGAGAAAGCCTTTGCACAGCTATCCAAGACCACCTCAGACTATATTCAAAATGCAAATGCCTTCAGAGATGAAACAAGAGCTTTATTCCGAAACCAAGAAGCTTCTATCCGGAATCTTGAAACTCAGATTGGCCAGTTGTCACGGCAGTTTGCTGAAAGAACTCAGGGCACCTTCCCGGGAAACACTATCATTAATCCTAGAGAGCACTGCAATGCAATTACCACAAGAAGTGGGACAGTGATTCAGCCTATAGAGAAGCATCTCGAAGAAAAGAAAAGGAATGGAGAAGCACCCGTTGAAAAAGAGAAGAAAGAAAAGGCAAAAGATAATATTGAAGTTGACAAGAGCAATCCTGAAAAAGTTGAAAGGAAACTGTTTAAGTGGGAGAAGAAGAAAGCTTTAGAAAGGCAAGACAAGCCCTTAGATTTCTCCCCATATGCTCGAATTCCTTATCTTCAGATATTAAAGAAAGAGATTCAGAAGCAGCAGTATTCAAAGTTTCTAGACATATTCAGGAGGTTGCAGATCAACATTCCTTTTGCTAAAGCTTTAGTGAACATGCCCAATTATGCAAGGTTCATGAAGGATCTGTCATCAAGGAAGCGTAAGTTGCGGGAATGTGAGACAATAAATCTGATGGAGGAATGTAATGCTATCATCCAAAAGAAGTTACCTACCAAAGTCAAGGATCCAGGGAGCTTCAGTATTCCATGCACTATAGGAAAAGTGGAAGTGGATAACGTCTTATGTGATCTTGGAGCTAGCATCAATGTCATGCCACTCTTCATGATGAAGAAGCTGGGGATTACTGAAGTGAAGCCCACAAGGACGATAGTGCAACTGGCTGACCGCTCTTCAAAGCAAGCTTGTGGCATCATTGAGAATATACTGGTAAAGGTAGACAAATTCATCATCCCTGTTGATTTTTTCATCCTTGATATAAAGGAAGATGCCACAATTTCAATGATCTTCGGAAGACCCTTCTTGGCAACTTCAGGAGCGCTGATTGATGTACTTAAAGGTGAGTTGATCTTACGGGTAGACGAAGAACAAGCAGTATTCAAGTTCTTGGACAAAGAAGTTTCCCCACATGTAGCTCAATTGAAAGATCAAGTCTTCTATATCGGTGAAAGGAAAGGTGAAGAAGAGCACAATGAGGAGTCTTATCAAGAAAGTAAGCCAAAAGTTAAGATGGAGAAGCCCAGTAGCAAAGGAAAGCATGTAAAAGTCAAGTTCAAAGTTCCTGAGACTACTTTACCTCATCCATATGCAGAAGAGCACTATGGTAGGACACAATTTCTGAATGATGGAGCTTGGTCATCACCAAGATCATGCTTTGAGCCACCATGATCACAAGTCAGGTACGTCGGGCTCGTGACGTTAAACAAGCGCTAATTGAGAGGTAACCCAACACTTTACTATTTTTAATTTTTCTATTTTAGTTATTTCACTTTTAGTTAATTAAATAAGAAAATACAAAAAAATTAGATAGAGACTAAGGTGATCAAGTGATAGTTGAAAAAGAGGACCACCAGCCTTCCAGCCCGAGACTTATGATGGATCCGAAGAGAAGAATGCCTATGACGCCGCACTGAGAGGGACCATCACGTATCCGGCTGCTGAGGGCCAGGATGATGAGGATGAGGATACCATAATGACACCCGCCATTGTGCGAGATGCAGAGGACGAGTAGGGGCTTGATGAATGATCACTTTAGCTATTTTCATTTTATTTCTGTTTTCATTTCGATTATTTCTTTTTATTGTTATGGTATGAGATAACCCTGTGATGCAGTATAGTATTTCAGTACTGATGACTGATAGTTATGATTGATGCTGTTCCAGAGGAATCCACTATTTCTTAACTCTCATTGCGATTTTTTTAGATTTAAATCAGTTGCTGGGGACAACAACATTTAAATCTGAGAATGAGAAGCGCGTAATCCATCAAGTGGTACTACTAAATGAACCGGAGAACTTCATAAGTATACACGGAACATCCGGCTAGTACAAGGAACTATACCCAAAAAGAACAAAAATGATGGTTGTGCATGTACTTGGTGCACAATTTGCAATTAATCAAAGAAAACTAGTGATGGAATTTATTTAAGGTTAAGTTGCAATTAAATATCATGAAAAACATAAGGCTTTTGTTTAGGTTATTCAAAAAATTAATTAAATTAGTTAGTTAAATTTTTTTCACACCTTTCAAATATTTGGTGAAAATTATTGAGCTATTTCGTGGGTAAATTATTTTAATTAGAAATATTAAATATTCTATGCAACATACAAATAACATAATAAATACATAGGCGACATAAAGTTCGCAAAGACATATGCAGAGGCTCAAAGTTACTTATATGACATTATTTTTTATTTAGGAGTAATATGCATTTATTGGTTGGGAGTCGAATCTTGTTAGAGCCAGTTGTTTGTAGGTTTTATCTATAAATAACATTGTATAAAGCGCTTGTTAAGCCATAAAGTTTGCCCTGACACTATGATGGAACAATCAACCTGACAAATTTTTCAATTTTGAATCCCATTACCTATAACTCCACCAATTAGAAGAACATTGTCATCATTTGGAAAAAGGCTTACCCACATTTGGATGAACGTTGACATTATTTGTTGGTCTATTGAATATCTTATTTACAAGTGAAAATTTTTAAAGCAAAAAGAATTCGTACAAGTGGTTTATATAGTAGAAAGATATCGTTTTCTCTGTATCCCAGAAGAAACATTTGTGGATTAGAAATTGGAACATGGAGAAATGAATTTAAATTATATAACTGGGATTAAACTGGATTTCGAGATCGTATAATTTTTTTGGTGCTTTCATAACGTAGTCAATTATTTGGAAATTGTTTAAAATGAAAGGGTATTCATCTGTATCATGAAAATTTGTGGGGGATAAATTGCACCTTTTTAAATTTTATGGGGTAAAATGCATTTGAGTCAAAGTTCAAAGAGGTAAATTGAATTTTAGTAAAAAAAAAAATGATTATAACTTCGAGTCCTGGAAATGGGGTTTGACAGTGTTTGAACTTGATTAAACGAGCTTGGATAATTTCTATATTGATATCCATATTTGTTTAAGAAATGCAAACATATGTGTATGCTTGGAGTTAACAAAGAGATATCACACAATTGAACTTCATGATCATAATATTAAAAAAAAAACTTGTTAACCAACTAAAACTCAAGAAGATTATAAATCATCACTTTTTAAATTGTTGACAAAATAAAATTTGTGTAAACTGAAATTTACTGTTAAATGTTTAAAGCTTTTAAGTAGCACAACTAAATTAAATTATTTGGAATATAGAAATATTAAACATTTAATTATTCATTGCAATCTTTTAGTAACTCATTATGTAAGGTTGGTTTTATAAAGTGAAAGTTTCGATTGGGCATATCATTAGTATATAGTTTTTTTTTATTTATTTATTTATATTATCGTCTAATGATGTATTGATATTTCATAAAAAGAATTACACTTACGAAATAGTGGATGTGATAGTTAAACTGAAATAATAAAAACATTATATAATAATTTGTAAATAATTAATTAAATAATATTATGACTAATTATTTTATTATTTGTTAGTTCTTGAATCCAGGTAGTGGATAGGATCGGTTATTATATACTTTCTTAGTGGTAGATACTGGTTTCCTATTTGTTTTACTTCGTAAAAGTGTTATTGTGTTGAATACAAATTATGAGGAAAAATATTTAAGCACTTGTACATTGAAGCTGGTTCCCTCAATCGAACTTAAATCCCTTATTTTCTTTCAAAATAAAAGTACGTAACAACTTAGTATCAAAACAAGGCATGCAAGAATAGGTGGGGAAATTGGAAGCCACCGCTAGGCCTTGTCCGATCAATTGCATGAATTGTTTATTGGTTGCCGACTGTTCAGATATCCTGGCCATCTAATCTGTTGGTCACATGGGAGAGAGCTCCGCAAACAACCAATCAAATGACTCAATGCGCTTATTCGGACCGGTGTGTTATCATTACGTATGATATGTAGCGTAATTACAATCACAACAGTTCAATTAAAATTTCTATTTACAATAAATACCGTATTCAAATTAAACCAAAATTGTAATTGTAACACAATGACATTGCAAAATGATTAATTCTAGCTTAAACATATCATACTACCTCTTTAGACACTATTGTGAGGGTCCCATACCCCTCACAACCTTATTTTTAATTCTGCAGATTTTGACTTGCTAGTTGAACCTCTCGCTGAAGCGAGCAGTTCAACGAGCTCTTTGTGGTTGCTCGCTGATAAGCTCGCTGAAATGAGCATGGCAGCGAACTAATTAAGTCCTCTGGTAGTAGCTACTGCCCAGGTCCCCTGTTTCCTCACAGTCCCCCTCGCTAGAGTGAGGCCAACAATGAGCTCGCTACAGCGAGCACATGAGCGAGGAGCCCCCTACTTCGAGTTAGCTTATGTCTCCAACTTATTTAGCTTGCTAGCTTTGCTCGCTAGAGCGAGCATGAAAGCGAGTGAAGTCAGAAATTGGGCATATCCCATTTGCTCCTTAGCTCAATCCATACATGGTTGGAACACCACTTGGGTACATATAAGACATGGAAAGGAAACTCATAGCCCAACAGACTAGGGTGCTCTTACATCCACAACAATATACACCAATTAATGACATTTTCATATCTCTACTTGATTTACAAGTTGTGTGTTCTCAACTTAACATTATTTTGTCTTTGACCTTAATGCATATTTCAGACACATTGTAAACAAGATCAAAGTAATACACATATGTAATAGACTTCAAAACATGCAAAATAGGCATCCATGCCCTTTCATCATATATGCATATTGGAACTTAGCTACACAAAATAACTATTATCACAATTCTTGGCTCCCTTTAACAACATGAGATACCAAAGGGAAATGATCATAGGCTAAGTTCACCAAAATACATCATGGTATATCAAATGAGTTATCAATATAAATCCTATACATGTTCTTCTAATATATATATATATATATATATATATATATATATATACATGATGCTCCAAAATACTCCCAAAACATGCTATCATCAAGCTATCTATTGTGGCCTCTTGCCAATAGATGTTCCAACACCATCCATACCTGAAAGGGCCCCCCGAAACGTGGGGTAAGATAAATATCTCAGCAAACCAAGGGTCCTTGGAGGATCACTCCACCCTTAGGTTCACTTCCAATGAATACATAATAATAATAGTCTAACATACACTCACCATTTAAACATCACATGGAACTTCCAAGAGAGATCCGCACAGGGCTATTTCTCTTAGGTCCTTACCATAAGAAGATCCGCATAGGGCTACTTCCACGAGAAGTCCATCATATCAACATTCCTTAAACCATGCATGGAACTTCCAAGAGAGATCCGCAACGAGCTGTTTCCAAGGAAAGTCCATAATTTCACTCTTGGGACTTCCAAGAGAGATCCATAATGGGTTGTTTCTCTTAGGATCTTACCACAAAGAGATTCGCATAGGGCTGTTTCCAAGGGAAGCCCCTAACCTCAATCTAAGAGCTTCCAAGAGAGATCCACAACGGGCTGTTTCGCTTAGCTTCTTACCACAAGGAGATCCACATAGGGCTGTTTCTAAGGAAAGTCCCTACCAATCATTATTTCACACTACATAAGGCACTTACAAAAGAGATTCGCAGCAAGGCTATCTCTTTTAGGTTCTTACCACAAGGAGATCCACATAGGGCTATTTTCAAGGGTAAGACAAACCACCCGAAGATTCACATAAGGCTGTTTCCAAGGAAAGTCCTCACTTGCATGGTACTTTCAAGAGGGGTCCTCAAGGGCTGTTCTTCTCAGGTATTAACCACAAGGAGCTCCACTCAGGACTGGCTCCAAGGAGAGGCCACACATCCTATAACACATGTAAACATACATCCGACTGATCTAAGGACTATTCAATCATTTTATCATTTATCAATCATTACCTCATCTCTCAACTACCAGTTATCACCTCATTAATTAACTATCAATCATTACTTCCTTCCTTAACTATCAATTCTCATCTCCTTCATCATTTAAATCATTACATCAAACCTCAATTCACATTAGTGCACCATTCATCATTTTTACATCATTTGATCATTCTTCAATTATTCATTAACAATCATAGCACCAATTATCATTTAACAATCATAGCATTAATTATTATTTAACAATTGTTACATCATTTATCAATGCATGAGCATGCCTTTACTATCATTATCATATGCCACATCATATAATGATTCCTTCACAACAGAGCATGGTGAAACACACAAGGAGATTAACTCCAAGGCCCGAAGGTT